GTTATTTAAAGACACTCATCGACATGATTTTTTCCTGCAATTTTGTATTGGATCTTTATTGGGATATAAAGTATGAAATGACCAAGAGAGATTCTGAGATAGATTTGTGCCGACACTCAAAAAGATAGAACTGCAAAAGAATGCATTTGGGTTAACATTGGAATGATTCAACTCTATCCACTCTGACATGTGCTCCAACATCACTGGGAAAGATTCGTTGCTTGTATAAATCTCATTCCTTTCTACATTCTCTTAAATCATGGAAAATCGAGAGAGGACCCTGGATTATTTGAGAATAAGTTTTGATCATGGTAAAGCTGAGATTGAAGTGTTTGTTTGGAGGAAAACTCTGAAAGATTTTTGGTCTTTCATGCAAATATCTTGAAAACATTTTGACTAACTTCTAACTAATTAGCAGTGTTGGTAGCTTGGCTTTCTTTAGAGATTCTTATCATCGATCAGAAGGAAGAAAAAAGAAAATTATAAGAATATAATTTGAGGTGTCCACTTGACTCATCATGTCCCTTGCATAAGATCTTTTACTTCAAAAGATTGGATTGATCTAAATAGTGGATTAACTCATGATACTGGGTTGAACCATGAAAACTAAACAAACAATTGGAAATATAATTATGCACTATGTTTTCTAAGAATTTTTTCCCTTTTCCTTGTGAATATTTATGTGTTTGGATTTCACTTCACAGCAATTCATATAGTACTGTTTGCTGATTTTATTTGTTTATTTATATTAGTTAATCAGTTGCACATGATCATCTATTATAATTAAGTAATCCATGCATAAAATTAAAGGAATATTATTAGATTTGTACTACTTAGCCATATAAGGGAGTTGGGGCATATCTCTTTGACTCTTGATAAATTCGTGAGTTGGAGAAAACAGTGTCATGGGTTGACATTATGTGTCACAAGGTTCGATATATGCAGTGGGCATATAAGTAGGCCACTCCATTTTATGGCGTTTAGCTTTGTTGAAAACTGCCTTAAAATATGTTGAAAGTTCATTCATTCAAAAGAGAAAAGCCTTGTTTGATTCTGTAATGTACTTTGATATTCCACACTCTTGATGAACTGGGTTGTTTTAGAAATGTCTTCTAGCTAGTATATAAAACAAACTGTATGGGCAACTTGTGTATTCGTTGACATAATATATTTGTCTTGTGGCCCATGTTGATACAATAGGGATACAATTTGGCTGTGGCACCTATCTATTTATTTATTAATTTATGTATATATGTATTTATTTATTTAGAGCTATCCATGTAACATGACTGACACTTACAGAAATATGGTTTTAATTTCCCCCTTTATTTTATATATATATATATATATATATATATAAAATTCAACTCAAGTCAACAAAACATTCTACCAACTATATGGGATAAGCTACATGCATGAATTCAGTTCATTTCCATATCCTTGTTTAAACTATGGGCCCTCAAATCATTTTCTCACTATTTTGGAGTTCACATCTCTGCCCCACAATGCCCCACAGCACATTCCTGCCATGTATTATAAACATCTCCCGATGATAACATTATCGAGACTGGTACTATCATTGAGAGATGTTCTCAATACACGGCGAGGATGTGCTGTGGGGCGGAGAAATATGTGATCTCCTACTTTTGATATTCCACAAATTCTTGAATTGTGTTATTTCAGAAATGTATTAACTCTAGTATATTAAACAAATTAACTGCATGTATGGAAAGTTGTCTTGTGTTCCATGTTGATACAACAAGAATGCAACTTGGATGCGGCACCTTCTATTTATTTATTTATTTATGTATATATGAATTTATCTTAGGTGTGTAGGTAACATGACTGACACTTCACAATATGGTCTTGCCGCCTCCTTTATTAGATATATATTGGCTATATACAATTCAACTCAATAAATTAAATTATATATGAACCCACAAAATCATTTTCACTACTTCAATCTATGTTGGTCTGGGCCTGCCTCTAGCTCTTTCTAGACCCTTCAACTTGCAATAGTTGACTTGTTACTGGTTTTGTAGATGTTCTCCAATATATGCACAAGATGAAAGCATTTCTAGATCTCCTATTTAAAAAGGACATTACCCAATATATGTTGGTCCCAACTATCTGGGGACTTGGGAGGGGTAGACTGAATATTAATCTTATATATCTCTGTCATATTATATGAGTAGGTAAATAAAAATTATTTTATTTTCTATTTATATTTTTCCAGTCTACTCCTCCCAAGTCCCATGACTCCAGATAGTTGGGACCAATATTGGGTAATAGCTTTTTTTATTTTAAGTTATATTTTCAACCATTATCTATATATGCTGCTTCTTTCATACTTTGTGTTAAATAAACTGTAGGGGACAAGTCAGAATTTTGATTTTATTAATGTATCTGATGTCTGAAAATATGTACAGATATCTCATATCTGGCCGACTATATGGTCAATTTGAATTTTGTTATTCACTTCCCATTAATTCTTCCACAATAAGATTAGAAAATGATGTCATAATATCATTAAATCCAGAGGGACAAACTTGTAGACAGGTTCTGGTATACCTTGTTAGATTATTTGTTTAATTACTTTTTCATATATCAATTGTTGGCATGCAATTACATGCTCTCTAGCTAACTACTTTCTTTCTTTTATTCTTCTCCATGAACCCTATATTTGATGATCTGACCTGTAACTATAATTAGAGGTGAATCTCTCCACATCAATCTCTTGAGGAAGTTTTACACCAAACTCCATATCATTTCTTTCAACCAGATAGTCCTTTTTCTGCCGAAGGAAATATATTTAATTTCACACCAAATACAATTGTTGATAGTCCATAAATGGTCCAAAACCTTTCTTTATAATTTCCAATTAAGTTTGAATGAGCTAGTTAATAAGCTTCAGGTTTCTTTTATGGGAATGCAAAACCTTAGTGAGGAGAATCAATAGGTAAGAAGTGGATGTCATGGTTTAAATTGGGATGTCATTAGTTGCCACTTCTCTATTTTTAAATATAAATTTACGTATAGTTTCTAAAATTGAATAAAAAAGAAAGGAAGAAAGATTAATGGACAAGCGAATTCATAACTCAATCTATTTTTTACTTGAGTTGATAAAAATCTGATTATGGGGATTTACACAGTTGGAGATGATTTCTGATGTTAACATTTAAAATGGATAAGAAAAGTTTAATTCCATATTTATGTCAGAAGTAACCCAAGAATTCCAAAGTCCAATCTATGGAAGAAACCTAATGATTCTAATTCATAGCCAATTTTCTTAGTCATAAAGTTAACCCATTTATGTTGCATAAGATGCAAATTGTAGACTTGTTCTCTGGGTTTGTTGTTCTTCTGGAGACCGTCTTGTAGTTCAAGTAAATGAATAATATGTTATAGTTATAGAGCTCAAGTCACTTATTCAATCATGGTGTAAACTTGTTCTGGTTTTTGATACTAGGGTTTTCTCTATTGATCTATTTGGCAACTTTGTTTGGAGATTACTCAATATTCAATGTTGGGTCTACTGATGTTCTAGTACAAGCAACACACATGCAGGGTTCTTCCAGTGGAAAAACTGACGACCCAAATTGGCAATTATTGCCTTTTTTTTTCATTCCTTCTTAGTGATGTGAAAGATGATATATGTTTTTAGCGCTTTTCAAGGAGAGGGGAGGGGGGGGGGGGAAGTCTCCGTTCCAGGCTCCACGTATATCATAACCACGCCAAATCTAATGAAAATTTGCCTGGTCTCTCCAGGCTCCACGTTAGTATATCATAACCAGAGTTGAACCTTGGTTCAGTGTCTGGTATTACCATTTTAATTACTTGTAAGGTTTTTATCTGAAACTCTCCCTCACAGCCTCACTTTTCCGGGGATTCTCTTAAATTATCCACCCCGGGCCCCTAACTTTCTAGGTCCAGATCAAGGCCTCTTGTTGGAAATTTTCCGTTAAATGACTAATGTTCTTTATAACATTACCACAATATCCCTCAGTTCATTTCTACCCTCAAACCAAAATACCTATAATTATTTACTTGATCTAAAGGCAAAAGCTGAAGCTTAATTCGTTCATTTTTTTTAAAAAGCTATTTACTTGGATAAATTCATTTACCCGGCCGGGTATGGAAAATACTTACCTGTGTTCTTTTGATTTTCAAGGTAAATTATACAAGGACTCTTTTATCTATAAAAGGTCATTGTTAGAATGAGCAAAATTGTCTCAACATATCTTATTAACTTTTCTTTAACGTGGAAAAGTTATTTATCCACTTGAAAAATAGGTATCACTTGCCAAAATAATAAAATGATACTTCAAAAATGTTATTTTTCTGTGGATCCTACAGGAACGTAAAAATCAAACAAGGGAAAAGTACTTAATGAGAACCACATTTCCATAAAAAAAAAAAAGACAAATGAGATGTTGAAGTGATCATAGAAAATGAGTTCAACTATATATGATACCAGAAAAATTTATGACCAATCATTTGGCATCATAAAAGTGGTAAATAATCAAGTGATTATTTATCAAATTCATGGGGGTTTTGGTTGGTCAAAGCCCAAAAAGATATCTTTTGGGCAGCATAGTCTTTTCCTAAAAGCACGAGGCTCTTTTGGTTTTTTAATCTAAAAAACATGAAGCTTACATTTCTTAAAATACAGTACAAAACCTTGTATATATATAGTATTTCTAAACTTTACATTTAAACTCTTCCCAAACTGAGACTTAATTATATTAACAGTGAAGGTGTGTAAACTACTGCGGTCAGGGTCATTAATTAAGTTTATCTAGGAGTAGCCACTGATTATAACTTAACAAACTTGTCCTCATTTATTTGTTTGTTTCCTTATGTGTCTTTGTCAATCTTGTCCAACCAGATAATTATTTGCTTCTAGTTTGGAGCTTCTGTTCTCTGTTTTTGGTGACATAACTGAATTATTCATTATAAATTCTCTTAAATGAAGATGAAGAGATAGCAACTACCAACTGTGGGTTGGACCAGTAGTTCCTGGGTGCAACTCATCAGATAACAAATAAGCTCTCCCAATCTTATTTTTCTAACCAAACATGAAAGCATCAAGCTCTGAGCTTGAAGCAGAAACCTTGTCTGCAGATGAATCAGACACCAACAGCCAAGTTGGTTCCAATATGTCCGTCCATCGAACCTCTCCGGACCCTTTCAAGGAGAGCACCGCCTCCTCCTGCCTTACAGACACCATTAAGCTTCAACATGATCCCAGGCCTGTCTCTCTCGATTTAAGCCTCGGCCTCAAAACACATGCAGACGGCAGGAAGGAGTCAGTGGAGCGCTCTCATTATCGAACACCTGTGAGAGTAGCAGCAGCAGAGATGCAGCAGCAGCGCACCTCTGTCCCGAGAGTTTTCTCCTGCAACTACTGTCAACGCAAGTTCTTCAGTTCAAAGGCCCTGGGCGGGCATCAGAACGCGCACAAGAGAGAGAGGACATTTGCAAATCGAGCCATGCGGATGGAAATGTTCTTCCAGAGGTACCCAAGTAACCCAGCAGCATCATTGCCCCTACATGGGTCAGCATGCCGCTTCCTTGGGATCAAACCTCGCTTCCCTGTGCGCTACGGCGCTGCGTTACCAGAGAGAACTGGTGCCAGGTTCGAACATGACTACTTGGGGCCACCAGTGGTGGTGGAGGATGATGAGGCAGAACTGTTTTGGCCTAGGAGCTTTCGACAAGTACCTGAGGGAGTTACTGGACACCCAGGTTTATTTGAATGGTCAGGAAGCTCATCCTTCAATTTTGTAACAGTAGCTTCAGTTGCAGAGGCAGATTCACCCCCACCAGATCTCACACTGAGGCTGTAAGAGGTCCCTTTCTTTTTGCATTCAATTGTTGCAGTACTATATATGTATTCTCTCTCACGTACAGTACTGAGAAAAACATGAGCTATAGTACAAGCTTTCCTTTCATTTCTGAATGATGTTTTATGAGAGCTAGATACTTGATGAGGGGAAGTTTCAGTTTGTGTTTAATTTGTATGGTAGAGATATGCACTCTCCTCAGTGCCTATTAAGTGTCTTATCATCTTGTCCATCTAAATTTCCTCTTGTTGTTAGATGCCAGTAACTTTCAGATGGTGAAACCAACATCTTAAAGCCATGAAAATGGTGGATGCAATGCAAGCTTGTGGTCTCACATTTTTTGACCTGGATGTTTGGTAACTATATTATCATATGGGGTTGCACCCATGGATGGTACTAGGCAATCCTGTGCAACTCCATCTGTTTATCTGAATTCGATTTTTTATCTGGTTAAGGGTGATATAAATTCAATCTGTTTAAAATTGGATTGAATTGAATATGGATCCATCCCTAGATTTGATTCGAAACGAATACAAATGAACCAGCAGATGTGGATTTACCTTATATCCAATTCGATCCAATCCATTTGCAGTCCTACCCAAAAACCTGTGATCTGAATAGTTTCTATACCAAAATGGGTGGAATCATTTTGGTGCTGCCTGAAGACAAGAATGCCATTTTTCAGGAAAATAACTTGTTATGTCATCAGAAATTTCCAATCAAGATAGAATTCTGTCCGGGAGATGTGTTACATTAATTACCTTGCTACTCGGTCGGCACGTTTACACAAAAGAAAGTACACTGAATCACCTTTTTCTTACATAAATGGTTACACCATTTCTGTAGTATTAGCAACCTCTTAACAGAATTTCCAAATCCGTAGTTGTTAGGGACCATGTGTTAGCTGGCCTTGTGCAATCATACCAAGGACACTACAGCTAGTATATAGTGTGATATATACCCATGGTTACATGCCTTAATTGATTAAACATTATTAATCCCAAGTGTTCTAATTTGTTGTCCCATTTCTTTACTACCCAGAACCATTTATTCAACTTTAGTTCATTCCATTTATTAATGATATTCAACATACGAATTTAATCCGAGGCTGATCTAAATATCCAATGAACAAGATTTTATTCTTTACACTAACAGGTCAAATTTATATCTAAGCATATCCGATTTGATCCAATCCATTTGTAGCCTCAAAAACTATTGATTAATTGCGGAATCAACTGAATAATAACCTATCATAAATAATCGTTTCTCAAATTTAATAGGTAATAACCTACTTGTACTTAAGCAGAAGTATAGATTATTCCTGAGAATCCTTGCATAACATACCAGAACAACTGATTAGTGAGACTCATTCATTCCTCAAATTTTCAAAAGTGAACACTGGCCCATTGTCCAATTCTTGGACTGTAGATCAGAACCAAATACTTAAAAAAACTGGGCATATACAGTGTCCTTCACAAAGACTGATTGGAAAATAAAAAATGGAATGGCTCTATACAGATAAATACCTGTAAATTGAGAATCTCAATTTACTGTACTTCATAAGTTTCATGCTTCTGTATATTAATTGAACTCTTAATTTGTCTCTTTCTTGTTTATTCATTGTCACTCCAATGATCCAATCTAATCCATTACAACTGAGATTTTGGAAAAAGCTGTAAGAAACAATTCTCTGAAGCTTCAATTCATTTCCAAAAGCAGACTTTTTCAGTGTTCTCAGCCTCAGAAAGAGGGTAACCGTCAGGGTAAAAGAGAAAAAAGGGGGGAAAAGAAAAAGAGTGTGATCTCAGCAAGTTATGCATGGCCTTGTCTGTAACAAAATCACTGTAGCTTTTTCCTTGCTGTGTATCCATAAGCCACTTCTTAATGTGCCACGAAAGAAGGTTACAGTTACTAGAAGTATATCTGTTCTAAGCAAGAATAACCAGATGAACAAGTATCAGTTTCCTCCTTATTTACATAAATTATCATTATCAATCTAACATTCAATCCATTTAAGTAAGAAAGAGGCTTCTTAAGAATCAGGTCATTGGATGTCTAGAGGGAAAATAACCTTCTAGTCTGGTCTGAAAGAGAGCTCTGGTTTATAGGTTTTTTTTGTCCAAAAAATATGCTTGTTTAATTGGGAAAAAAAATCCATTCCTACTAAGGACCATATTAAATATAGCCCACCTTATCATTCATTGAATGGAAGCTGTATATTCAAACTTCAACACCATCTATTGATTATTTGTAAAGCAAATTGACAACCATATATCAACTAACAGAATCAGAGGTTTCAGCAGCCACAATATCTCTGACCCATAGAGGCGATCTATCCAGTATCCAGCCTTGTTTGCATCTCTTCTGACATGAACAAAAGAAACACTATTAAACATTTTACAGAGGTTGAAAATGACATCAATTAAATCTAACCAAGACCAAGAAATTGATGAAGAAATTTTATTAAAAGCAGAGGTAGAAGTTAGGGAGTCTCATTTCAAGATGACCTCTTTCCAGTTTTTATTTGTTGCAAAGCTTTGCTGCCTCCAAATTAGCTTTTAGTTCAGCTTTCAAACATCTTTGAGTAAGATGAAGATAAACTCCTATAGCAGCAACAAAATCAGAGTTAGCAACAAAACCATATGAACCTATTGTATCCGAAACCAATCCTCCATCCCAGTTGACTTTGACAGCTAGTACTCCTGCCATGGGAGGCACTGTTGCATGGACTCTCCTAAATGGATTACATGTCATGTCGGACATGTGCTCGAGTCTCACAATCCACAGATTTTTGAAGGAAATGTACGACACTTTCTTTTTATCTGATAACTTCTTTGATACAAATTAGAGTTATACTAGTATGTCGGAGCATTATTCATTCTATAGGGTATAGAACCGCCACAGCCTATCATTTCATGCGACCAGATTTGGTCTAATCTCATCTGATCCAATATGATTCCATTACAGATGGACCAGGTCCAATCCAATTTGATGAATACTCGACCATTTTGGACCAGTCCAATTCATTGTCTGGACTGTCCCGTCTGTTAAAATTGGTTTTTATCTTCTATTAATGGATTGGATATTGACTCAATCCAACCCAATTCAATATAAATACATTACGAATGGACCAGGTCTAATCCAATCCAATAAATATTTTGGACCATCAAGTTTGGATTCATCCAATTCAATATATATTGAACCTGTTCATGGGCCAGGCCAGGCTTTTACTGGTTATCAATGCAATATATTGAAGTCCGAGCCCGAGCCTGTCCCGACCCTCGGGCCTAAATCTTAAGCCTAAGCCCGGCCCTCATAAAAGCCCAAGACCTGAAGCCTGACATTGCAGTTGCAGGCATCTGGGTTCACGGCAGGGTTGGTGAACTGGAGAGAGAGAGACCTAATGACTGGTTGTTGGCTTGCTGCTCCACTGTTGATGCCGTCGATCTGATGTTGGGAGTGTTTGGAGAAGAGCAGAGCTTGGAGAAATGGGGACGCCACCACGCCGCTAAGAGAAAGTCTAGGACGGAGCTCGGAGAGATGTCGTCATCTCGCCAGTCGCCAAATTGCTGCCTGAGTGTAGATTGTAGAAGCAATACCGCCGGCGCGGGATTAGTTTGTTCAAAGTTCAAACAAAACAGGGATGAGTTCGAATGACCGTGGCTGGGCCGGGCTATCGGGCTCCCCGGCCCATAAACAGGATTGGTCTGTTCAATTCGTCTAAATTGATTTTGATTTGGACGGGGTCCAACCCAAAACCTATCCATTTACACCCCTATTGTGTGGTCACATTTCATTCTTGTATCATACACAATGAACAGTAATTCAAGGGGCTAGCATTTGCCTATATATTAATAGCTAATCTACAAAACGAATTCATTTTTAACAATCGTCACTTAGTAACAAAGGCAACATTTTTTATAGGTATATAATGTCAAGTTCAAAAAAAATGTATTATTTTAATGGTATATACTTTTTTTTTTATATGTGTCCACGAGTCCATGTTTTCTCATCTTGCCAAGTCAGATTTCATGAGTCAGGATTCCGACTCTTGTGTCTGTGTCCATGTAACACTGATGGGAGGGTTCCAGGTGAGATAGAAGGTCCATTAGATTCACCCGTTGTAAAAGTGTTCTGTCTATTTACATAAATGATTCCATTTATACGATTCAGAATCCAATGAAGCGATCTAGGTCTATTCTAACACTCCATAACGATCCAATCAAGAAATTAAAGAAAGTATTTTCAGTAATGATGTGAACCAAATTGAACTTGTGAGGAAATAGGTTTTGGGTGTATGCGGCCCAACTAAGGGTGCAGCTTAAGTGGGCCTAACCTTAGATAGAACTGAGATTTGGGAGTTAGAACTGATTAGGCCCTGTCCTGAAAAGTTGGGCCTAATGCTGGATTAGCCTCAGGAGTCAAGAGTCAGGCCCTCAGGCCTCAGCTTATGTTGAGGAGAAAAGGTTCCCTAGTTAATTGGGTCACTCAATCATGGAAGATCCCTAGACAACAGCACCTAAGTGGAAGAATATTATTGTGGCCACTCTAGACCATCGTTAGATGAGAGACCCGACGCACAGCCACTCTAGACCTTCCCTGGACAACACCACCTCTTTTAGCATACCAAACATTCATTCATGGTTTCTAAAGGGTTGGATTTCAACTTTCAACTGGCAGACTCGGACTTCTCTAAGTATGGATGGGCTTTGGACTAGGGGCCAACTCTTGTAGGCCCACTCGATCGAACCCACTCAAGTCACCTCTCAAAAATATATAAATAATAATAAAATACTAATACCTTTACTTTCCCTGGGTTTTGACCAATTACTTTCCCTGAAGTTTACCCAATTTGACCACCAGACTACAGTCTACAGGGGAGTTGTTAGCCGGAGAGATGGGATTTTCGTAGGAAGATATATTTTACCAAAATACCATTGTTAATTGAATATTAGTTTTGTCTTTAAAATATACTTGTGTAAGGGAACGCGCTATGCACATATATTAAGTAAGCCTTAGATATATGATATTTGATTTAACTTTTATGACATGTACTAAAATCAAAGCAAGTATCCTCTATAAATATCGGTTTTAAAGTCTATAAAAGTTTTTTATTTAATATTATCTTAAATTATTGTTTTGTTTTATTTTTTTTTCCTTAACCTGTCTTCAAGATTTCATTTTCACTTTTTTTACTGGGGATACAGAAGTAGGGCTGCAAGTCAGGCCAAATTAAGTCGGATTGAGGCCAACCCTAACCCTATGCAAATTTGACCTAATTTTGTCTCCAATACAGAGACATGGGTGTAATACCTT